GTTTGGGGGCGCGTAGGTGGAACCGCACACATTTCCGCTGATGCTAGCGCAGCCAGGGCACCAATGGGAATAATGGGGCGTGTATGACCATGCCCCCACCAACGTCCGCGTTAAGCACATTTATCACGCATACGCAGCGTATGCCGTGCCACAACCAACTGGCCCCATTGAGAGTGCATTCCCAGGCCAAGCAGCGAATTGCAAATTTCCGCAACTCGACGCGATTGCAAATGCGACTCCGAATGCGAACTCTGTCGAGGATAGCCAAGGCCTAGACAGCATGTTACCAACAGGGCACCTACACCCGCACCTGCATCTCTGCCCTCAGCCCGCTCAAGCAGCGTCGCACAACTTCACCTGAATGCAAAATTTCAAATGCAATTATTTATAGTCCTGGCAGCCGGTATCATAACTTTGTTATGCACTCTGTTACCCTTGAGAAATAGGTTTTGCATTAGGAATAATGCACACTTGTATTTGAATATCTTAGATTTGAGTTAAGGATTTACGATTCAACTGCTGCCGTGTGTTAGAATCTTAAGCGCCAGTCACGACCTGTTGCGCTGCTCTCACAATTATTTGTTGAGCTTGGGTTTTGGAGTTTGTTTTCCTTTATTTCTTAACCGTATAGAGAAAGAACTCTATTTGCATTCTTAGGAGTGTGATTAAGGTTGGGTCTAAGCTCAAATGCTGTTCCAAACTGGTTCACGAACTTTCCAAACTATCCGGAACTAGAACCTGGATATATAAAATTGGGTTAACAATCCAAACCTTCCAGCTGGAGCACTGGCACAGAACGTGAACCGAACCATTCAAATTTGTGGTCATAAGAAGTAACAGCTGTCTAGATAAACCCTAATTTGTATTATTATTTTAATGTTCTTCGAAATAGTAAGATAGTAGGTTAACCTATTCAAATTAGTCTTCATTAATTATTAAAAATGTATGAGTTTATTGTTTGTCAAGGGTTCTCCAATATTCCCTTAAAACTTATTTCTATAAAGGGTATCGATATTTGTCTAGCCGACTGTCTATATTTTTTTTTTCAACTTAAGATTGTTTACCTCTTTCTTATCTTTGAAATACATTCTATTATTTGTGAAGTACTTAAAAGTAGCACCTATCTCTTTGAAAGGGTATCGATGTCTGTCTACCCTACTTTCTGTCTATTCCATTCTTTTTTTTATACCCTTGCAGAGGGTATTATAATTTTGACGTGAAATGTGTAACGCATAGAAGGAGACATCTCCGACCCCATAAAGTATACTGCCGTAGGAACGATCGGCCGAAAATTAAGTTTTTGTATGAAAAAACATTTTGTTTATCAAGATATCTTGACCAAACTCGGCATTAACTATTTTCCCTGTGCTTCTTAGATACGGGCAAAGCACTATAAGCATTATGAAAAGGTTGGGTCTGCAAGGGTATTAGATCTTCGGCGTGCCGAAGATAGCCTTCCTTTCTCGTTTTTTATCCTTTTCGAGGGACCTTCAGCTGGACGCTTGTAACGAGCCTAGTTTGATGGACATTGCAGCGCCTGCTTTGATTGATGGCCCCGGCCAATGCAATGTAAGCAGCCTACCCGCTGACCCCGCAGCACGACTACAACGTAGCCCGCCCCCCAGCACACCCCCCTACACGACTGGTGAAAGTCGTTAGTCATTTTTCAAAAATTTAATTGAGCTTTTGGCCGTTGGCTGTTTTAAGTAAATAATGCATTATTTATGGGTAGCTTCCGCCGATGATCCCAAAAGCCTGGCAAACTTTTGTGGCCTCTACTGGGGCATTGTGCATGGGTCAGGGGGGGGGGGGGGGGGGGGGGGGGGGGGCGCCGAATAGCAACAAATGAGCTGTAAAAATAGCGCACAGACAAAACGTAAACTTTTAATCAAGAAATTCGCCAGCGGGCCTTCAACGAAAACAACAGCAAAACGCACTCAACTAGCCCCAATCTTGGGCTTCCCACCAAGCGGGAGAAAGTAAGGGGGCGAGAGAGGTGGGGGGCAGCTTTTACATCTAATTAGTTTGTTATGAGTGTGGCCAAGGTTTTCCAGAGTTGACATCGGAGTTCAAAGGGAGGCGGAGGCAAAAGTTTCGCCAGCCACGTGACTTTTGCACAGAGGGTTGTTAAACTGGTCAACTAATGTGGCCAAGGACGCCAAGGGTCAGACAGGGCGTCGGGCGGGTTGTTAAGGAATTTGCTAAGGATTTGCTTTCGAGTTGGCTTCGAGTTGCGGGTCAGACAAATGTAAATACTTGCAGTTGGCCAAGCGAACCCTTTGGGCTTAGAGCCGAGTCCTTTTTGCATTAAGTCGCCAAAACCACGCACACACGAGCTCGTCCTGTTAAGCCTTTTCTAATTTGGACGCCATGTTTGGCAGCTTGTTTATTCTTATTTTTTTGCTCTTTGGGGCTAAACATAACATGACCAAAGTTATGTGGATTGATTTTCGTATTTTGTAGCTACAAATGAGGTTGTATATATATATTTTTTATTATTTGAACGGGGCTTAGGACAGATTATTTATGTAGCTAAAACAAGTTGAATTTCCAGGGAGCTTCATCGGGATAGTGAGGGGGCAGGGGTACTTTGCAATCAGAGCCGAAAAGCTGGGTTTATGCATATCATAAATATATGAAAATAGAAAATGTGCTACTTTGTTTTTGTATTTCAAAAATGCGGTACTCTATTTATAAATGTCCTCGCTTTAAAATCGTAGAAAATGTGGGATATTTTTTTTAAAAAGGATGTAAATAATGGATAATATGACAGAGCTCTAGATATGCTATTAAAGAAAACTATATAAAATTTGTAGATTGTAAAATTTGGAGTATTTTATTATTAGTATTTACAAAGCTTGGATAAAGAAGGATGCCAGTTGTGTAGAGAAACAAACTGAATTATTAACTGACTGCCAGTTGATTATACCCACAGTTACATTAAAGATGGGTATAAAATAATGATTGTCATGCAACCATTTAAAGTGTAAGTGGAACTATTAACTACCCCTCATTATAGACACTAATTTGCGGGTCTAATATTCAATTCAACTTTCGCTATCTGCGCTCATCTGCTTTGGCTTCTTTTGCCTTACAGTTTTGAGGCAATTTCATTTTAATTACATGAAATTACATGCGAAACATATTCTAAAAGACACGCGAAGAACACAACAACAAACACTTTCTAACACTGCCCAGTTAGTGTGTGTGTGTGTGGGTGAGAGCGTGGGGCGGGCAGACAAGAGCAGCAGCAGCAGCTGAGCGGCGGCGTCAAAGTTCGTTCACTTGTAAACATAAAACGAGCGACAACTGAAAACAACAACAGCAAAAAAAAAATAACTGAAAAGGCAAAGGCGACAGGCAACTGAGCCGCTGCGCTGTCGACGTAGCTGAGCAGCAACAATGAAAAGTCTTTTTATGCTGCTCAACTTTGGCGCTTTTTATTAAACAAGCCGACGACGATGGCGCAGCAGACGCCTAAGAAGCACGAGAAGCCACAGCGGCACAGAAGGAACGCCGGCTAAACCGGTAACACTTGTTTACAGCCCACACGGGAGAGCGAGCGCAGCAGGGACAGCAAGAGTGTCTAAGATAGTGTGTGAGAGAGAGAAAGAGGGAGAGAGAGAGAGAGCGAGTGGAATTGTAAGACAGAGGAAAACAAGGCACAAAAGCTCACACATCTTCATACATATCAACACATGTCCATGTGTGTATGTGTGCGTGTGTGTTTGTGTGTGTTTGTGTCCGTGCCTGCAAGAGCATGAAAAATATGTTAAACTTTGAGCGACTGCATTCTGCTGCTGCGATCGGGCTGCGGGCTACAGGTGACAAAGACAAAGCTTCCTCTAATGTCATCATTATTGTCAATATAACAAGTTTATTGGCTTCGCATCGCGCCCTTCCCCCCGCAACGCACCGTACCACCCCGTCACGTTGGGGTCATTAGAGAAATGCCTTGGATATGCGAAGTTAGTTCGAGTTGATTTTGTTTTTGTTGTGTTCTCAGCTCGCTTGATTCCATGCTAAGCGCAGATTAAACGCAAGTTAATGACTTAATTAAGTTCAAGTGTAGGCAAAGAAAGTCAAAGACAAAGACAGAAAAAAAAGCTAAATGAACCGAAAGAAAAGAGATGAGAACAGATAGAGATAAACTCATATAAATTGTCGCATTTGCCATCTCTGAACCGAACAATTAGGGAAACACATTTGTTAGAGTTCACTGAGCTTTTTTTTCGCAATGAAAGTTCTTATAACGGCAACGTATGCAAATAGCTGTAAATGATTAAGATTGATGTGCTCAAGTGGGAATCAGCATAACATTTGTGTATGCAAATATCTTTCTATAAAAATACCCAAAACATATTTGAAAAAAGTCTTCTAATCTTTATATGCTATTAAAAACACTCAGTTTGCTTTCCGCGTGAATGGAGCACAATCTGCTGGCATGTTCATTCGGATTAGCTTTATTTAATTTTAATTTTTAATTAATACGATAAACGCTACTCTTAACCATTTGTTGATACTTAACTCAATCAACAGGAGCTCAAGCTGCTGCCGCAATAGCATCCAAAACAAAGCGTTTAACAGCCCTGTTCTAGTTGGCGCTCTCGTGCTCGCTCTCAAACTGCATTGAGCGTCAAATTCAAGGTCGCCCCATGCAACATATATTGCTGAAGAGAGCTGGAGCGACAGAGCGCCTCGGAGAGCACATATTCAGCAACTGAGCGTAAGCAATGCAAACAAGTTACGACACGAAGGCTGCTGTTGCTGGACGGCTGGCCTGTTGATGATGTTCGGCTCAATGTTGCTCTCGCGCTCGCTCGCCCACCAATACCACCACCACCACCAGCAGCAGCAGCAACAAACCTGCTCTCTCCCACCTCAGCCCACACACTGGCAGCATGACGGCGTTCCATGCAATGGTTAGTTTGTCAGCGTCTGCCCTGCCGCTCGGTTGTGCTCTCGGTTGAATATTCGTTTGATGTAACTTCAGGCTCAACGTAGTTTCGCGCCGTTTTACGTAAAAGTTCTGCTGCATACGGTACTTTTGTAGTTGGCAGCGCGTCGCTTAGCCGGCAAAACAAACGCCGAGAAAAGCCTAAATAAAAGTGTTAAAAAAGGGTACAAATAAAGAGTAATTGCAATTGAAATGAAAAATAGTTCTGTCACATATTTGTGCTATGCAAAATGCTAAATAGCCGCCGCGTGTTTTTGTGCGTGTTTTAAATATATTATTTTCAACGCCCTGCTCTCGCCCTCGCCCTCGCCCCCGTCATTGTGCTTGTGCTTGTGTGTGTGTGTGTGTGTGTGTGTTTTTGTCAAAATGTCCGAGCTTTAAGAATCCCGCAAAGCGTTGAAAATTTACTTAAGATATCCACGAGCCAAAAACGCGCCAACCAATAAAAGAAATTATTATTCGGTTCTGAAAAATGTGCGAAAGTAGAAAAATGCTGCTTCAGCCGCTGCTGCTGCTGCTGCTGCCGGCGCTGCTGCAGAGCGCGCAGCGCTACGATCAGACCCCGTTGGACGCCAGCTCGTACTATAGGTCCGACTTGACCGGCAGCTCGGCCAGCTCGCTGGACGGCTTTCCACATCACAATCGCTGCGAGCCCATCACCATATCCATATGCAAGAATATACCCTATAATATGACGATAATGCCCAATCTGATTGGTCACACCAAGCAGGAGGAGGCGGGCCTGGAGGTGCATCAGTTTGCGCCGCTGGTCAAAATCGGCTGCAGCGCCGATCTACAGTTATTTCTCTGCTCCCTCTATGTGCCCGTCTGCACCATACTGGAGCGCCCCATTCCGCCCTGCCGCTCGCTCTGCGAATCCGCACGCGTCTGCGAGACCCTCATGAAAACGTACAACTTCAATTGGCCCGAGAATCTCGAGTGCTCCAAGTTTCCCGTACACGGCGGCGAGGATCTCTGTGTCGCCGAGAACACCACCGCCTCCTCCTCCACCCCGGCGCCCACGCGCAGCGCACCCAAAGTGACCACGCGCAAGCATCAGATCAGCGTGGACAGCCCCCATCGGAACATAGGATTCGTGTGTCCAGTGCAGCTGAAGACGCCTCTGGGCATGGGCTATGAGCTGAAAGTTGGCGGAAAGGTAAGTGCCAGAAATATGAATTAAGCGTTAAGTGCGCAATGCAGATCACAAAAGGGAATGCTAAATTGCGGTACCCCAACCGAGATAAGAAATTTAGAGAATGCATGCAATGAGAGAAAAGGCGATAGATCAAAGTGTAAGAAGAAAGAACGTGCGAAACTCAAAAGGAGATTGAGCACATGTTGAAAGCATTGAGTAATAATTAGTACCATGCATGAACTTTATAACGGTAAACAAAGCTCTCTTTCTATTTATTACTCAATGACTCAATGTGTTGACAGTAATGAGAGCAAAAGTTACGTAGTCTAAAATGAGTGTAAAATGCCTTGATGCAGATATAACGGAATAACGTTTATCAATGGGAGGAGAAACATTTCTCAGAACAATTTTCTGCTTGTGCTCTCATATTGAGATTATAAAGTGTCCGTTTTTGCATAAGAGTAGATATGACATGAATATATTCCTGTAAATATCAAGGTAGATATTCTTAATAATGAATGTTTCTATCTTATTTTTTGCTTAAACTTTTTGTGGTTCTTTCTGTTTTCTTGAAACGTTGAAAAATTCTTTTTAGTTAATGTTATAAATTTTCTTTAGCCGTTTTTATTGACTATTTTTTGCTCATCAGGTCAGAGTTTTTTCGCTCGTGTTCAGCTCTTAATTTAAATAATATTCACTGCATTTTTACTGCGACATTCCTTTGTGCACAGAGACTTAGAGGCTTGTTTCTCTTCTGATCATTTTCAAAATAACTGCAGTTTTTATGTACCTGTACCGTTATGTGCGTAGTATTCCACATCGTTTCATTCGGGTCAACTGCCATTTTATGTCTTCATTTGAACTCCATACGCAATATGCTCTGATCCTGGAACAGTCAAAAACAAGTATAAAAAGTGCATATCCTGTTGCGTCGTAGATTAATTTCAACCACCAGGCCGAGCTGCGGGGAGTCTTCGAGTCATTCGAGTCGCCGATTCGGAGTCGGAGTCGGAGTCACCCTGTGATGGCCGCTGGGATTTTGACCTGCCAGTATTGAGTACTGGCAGCAGGTAAAACGGCTCAAAGAATACTCTACCCCCTGCCTTTAGACTTTGTTTGTTTGCTTTTGCTTGCTTTTCTTCGTCTTCTTCTTCTTCTTCTTCGTCTTCTTCTTCTTCTTCACTTGTGCATTTGGTTTGTTTTGGGAAACCAGTTTCCCGTTCGATGCAATTTGTAATGCCTGCTTATGGCTTACGCTTCCAATAGCCGAAAAACGAGGTAACGCTTAATACAGAACCCCCCTCCTCCTCCCCCTCCCCCTGATAATATGTATTTCAGCGCATTTTCACGTTGTATAATTAATTTTCTAGCCAGCCAGTTGGCTGCTCTTCATCATCAACATCATTATCATCATCATCATTATCAGCGGCATCATCAGTTTCGTCATTGTCTCGCTTTTCCACAAGTCGTTTTCCACAACTGTTTACTCTTTTTTCCCTGCACCGGCGACTTCTCCATCTCCCTTCTCCCCTTCTCCTTCCTTCGCTGTTTGTTTTTATGAGTAATGATCAAATGCCTTTAATGTTATTGTTGTTATTATTCGTGTTCTCTCTGTTGCGGCTGCTTCTTATTTGTATACCCTCGCCGAGGATATTATGCAATCTGTTGTGAAAAGTGTAACACACAGTGTGAAAGACATGGCCTTAAGTGCAGTTCGATATGTCAAGCAGGTGTGATATTTGAAGTATTTTATCTTAACATTGTCAAAGCTAATCGAAAAGAGAATTTTTTCGTAACGTAAGAAAACTAATATCTTTAAAATATACTCATACTAGCTTCTATGTATTGCACTTAAAATAGTTCAAATATCCATATTTTTATTAATATTTTTTAATTCTTAAGTGAAAAATCAACAACTCCATTTGTTAATATTGATTTTATTGAAACTATGTTTAATTGATCTTAAGAATTTTTTGTATTTTTCTAACATATTTAAGATAGAAATTTCATGAATTTTATCTTTAAATCTTGTCAAATTATCTAAACGAGTATTTTTTCTGTCACGGAAGAAAATATAGAATAAAAAATTTGTAGTTTTTATGAATTTCTTCAAAAACATAAAAAGTATAATCGTCTAGTGCATTTGTCTTCCTTTTGTCAATATAGATCTTTGTTAAATTAAATTTTCCTCAAGAAATCGTAATCTGTAGAATATAAAAATAAGAAATTATAAAGTATATAAAATTAATTTATGAAAAAGTTTTTGGTTACATCCAAATTCGTGAAGGGTCCAAAGGTCTTGATTTATTTGGGATTCCTCAACCTTTTTGTGAAACAATAATTTGTATTTACAAAAGAACATATTGATCCTTGTTATTAAATTATTTAAGATATCGTTATTTTTATCTTTTGTAGTTCGAAGATGACTATTTTTTTTAAATTATTCCTTTAAAAAACTACTCCTTCAGAAAATAGAACTAACCGCAAACTGGACTCAATTATGAAACCAAAGGGTTTTCAGTTGTGCGTATATATTTATATATATATCTTTATATTTGCATGGATATATGCATATTTATTTGCCAGCAAGGGTATTTGATATGCGGCATTCCGCAGACGATTCTTTTCTCTCAATTATTTATGTTGTTGTATTTTCCCTTCATCCATTTTCTATTTTTAATACAATGTGCCCTTCAATTGCTCTCATTGCTTGTTTACTCATGTGTGTGTGTGTGTGTGTGTGTGTGTGTGTTGGGGTGTGTGTTTATGTATGTGCATTTGCTGTCCTGTTCATTGGGCTCTGCCCCTTGCTTGTTGCCATGTGTAAAGCGCATTAAATACTTTGAGGCAGGATAATTCACACGTTTGCCTTGCTAAAAGTATCTTACGGATACATATCTATTCGTGTAGCTGCTAGACACACTTTGTTTGCTTTTTCTTGTCTTCCTTTATTTTTTTTTTTTTTTTTTGCTTCTCTCTTGTGTTTCTCTCTGGTGTGCGTGAGTTCCTCCTAATCGTCAGCAGGAACACAACTCTCGCTATACCATGCCTTAAATACCTTTTTCGAGAGCTGCGTGCGAAATTTCGCAGCTTGTTCAGTTCCACACTTGAGATTGAGGCTGAAAGGCTGAAAGAAATACGAACTGAATTAGCTACCATTATTTAGGATTGGCGCCCTGTTTGGCTAAGCATTAGATAAGCGTTAGTTGCATTGTTAATGACAATTGAATCACCCTGCAAAGCCGTTAAGCATTAAAGCATTTGGTTATTGTGATTTCCAACATGAGATGACAATGTTTATTAGAAGAAAACTAACTTATGGTGATTATGAGGTTGAATTGCTAGACAATTTATAACTAATAACAATGATGAGACTAATGCTATTAGCCAAATGTTTGAACAAAATCTTTAAGCTCATGAAATATAAATATTCTTTAAACATTATTTGGGATTTCTATGTATCCTAATGCCTTGAATATATATACATTTTTACGAGGCTCATCGAATATAAATACTCTTTAAATTTTTTCTCTTTTCGTTTTCTGCTCTAATCTCAGTTTGTGTTTCTATTTTGTGTGATACGCAACAGCTGAAGTGCTCTCGTCCACGCATTCTAGCACAACACTCAATCGATGGGATTAACATTTGATCGAAATACGTAATCCAAAACCACGACAACAATTCGAGCGGATTTGCAGTGCAGTTCGCCTCGCGCGAACCGCACAATCCAAAAACGCAATTCCATGGCGCTTCGGGTGTATACATATTTACTCTCGTTGCACGCCGTTGTAACTCTTTCGAGTGTTTAATTAACTAGCGAAGCGAAGCCCGACCGACCGTCATTTTGTCAATTTGATGAAGGGGTGCCTGTCTGCCCGGGGCGGGGGTCTGCTGGGGCGTCTGTCCGGGTTCGTCTCGCTTAAAAATGAGCAGGAATTAAGTTTACACACACTGACAGCGATTGCTGTGCCTATGCCCGGTTGATGGTTATATGTGCGAACAGGCACGCCCCCAATGTCCCCATAATGCTCCCTAATGCCAATACCAATAGAAACTCAAATCCGGACTGGGGCTGCCAAAAATAAATTAATCACAGAGCGCAAAAGGACCAGTTGGGTTAACATTAGAAAAGTCCTGTGACTGTTTGTTGTTGTATGGAAAATCGTAAACCCATTAAAAGGCTCATTTGAAACGCTTTTGACGCATTTGGCCAGGCAGACGAGGCGAGACGAGACGAAGTGTGCGAGGGAAGGATGTGGTTGCTTGGCGGTATTTTAATTGATGAATTGAAAGCTACAGAAAGCAGGCAGCCAAGCGAATCGGTAATTGATTGTTTGCCGTTTTCTGGTACATTTCAGCTGCCGCTAATCCCCATAAGCCCAACGATCCCCACAATTGCCGGCAATCCTTTTTTGGGGCCTATCAAATGATTGCCTTTTGTGGCATTGCGCAGGACAACGGCCCGTTGCCTTTGCATAATAAACTTTGTTGTGCGGCGCCCAAAAGAAAAGGCGTTGCATATGTTGAATGTCCTACAAGGATCATGATTATTTTAAAACGTACCCAAACTAATTCCATAGAAATGCTTCGCCTGGCTCTCGGCCTGCTGGGTTTGGGTAATTTGATTTTATAATTTCACAATCGCCAAAGTCAACTTAATTTATTTAAGAGGATTTGCCAAACGCAAGTATACATTTATCCTAGGCCTTAGTGTATACATTTCGAGCTTAGATATCTGTTATTAATAGGGTATCCGAGTTGAACGACTTGGCAATCTGTTCAGTTAACTTTAGCTTAGCTATGTGAAGAATGGAAGAAAGTTATTGTTAGCTGTCATTAAAGTAGGTTTCACATGCTGTTAGGCCTATATATGTGGGCGGCATTGGGCGTGGTCGTTTGCTGACATGAAAAACTTCGGCTTTTAAACTATGAAAGTTCCACATTTTCGCTAGCCTCAACACAGTCTAAAATGTGTTTGTCTTTTTGGGTGCATGGGTAAAAGTGTAAAATGCAAATGTCTT